TCGTTAGTTATTAGTTATCATTTGTTATCATTATCGTTAGTTATTAGTTATCATTAGTTATTACAGTTATCATTCGTTATCGTTATTCTTATCATTATCGTTAGTTATTAGTTATCATTCGTTATCATTATCATTAGTTATTACAGTTATCATTAGTTATAGTTATCATTATCGTTAGTTATTAGTTATAATTATCGTTAGTTATTACAGTTATCATTAGTTATCATTATCGTTAGTTATTACAGTTATCGTTAGTTATTGTTATCATTATCATTAGTTATTACAGTTATCATTCGTTATCCTGTTTAGAGAGACTGTTCAGTGATGCCGTGAGCCTCTGGATCCTACAGACACAGATAATGAATCAGACACGACTCCTCGAACGAATCATTCAGGAGTCAAGTGACATTCTGATTCAACACGGATCAATATTAATCAATCAGTCAGTACTTTTCAGACATGAGGGGGTGTCCAGCTGTCCTCGGGAGGGCCTGTATTTTTTCACCATCCTTCTCCTCCTCACGCTCTTCATTTCTCTGCAGAAATGACACACACACACACACACACACACACTGTTAAGCGGTCTAACCTCGTTCATTAGCGAGCAGCTGACTGGACAGTGAAGGTCACCTGATCTGGCTCCAGTAATCTGTCTGCTGATAGGTCAAGGTCGCTGATGGTCGTCACGGTGACGGTGTGGTTGGGATGGTCGTACTGAACGCTCTCTTTCGTGGCTGTGATGGCGTCCACCAGCTCATCTGCTTCATCTACGCTGTTAGTTATAGTTATCAGTCATCATTACATTTATCATTATCGTTAGTTATTACAGTTATCATTCGTTATCGTTATAGTTATCATTATTGTTAGTTATAGTTATCAGTCATCATTCATGTTATCATTATCGTTAGTTATTACAGTTATCATTAGTTATTGTTATCATTATCGTTAGTTATTACAGTTATCATTAGTTATTGTTATCATTATCGTTAGTTATTACAGTTATCATTAGTTATCATTATCGTTAGTTATTACAGTTATCATTATAGTTATCATTATCGTTAGTTATAGTTATCAGTAGTGTTGTCACGGTACCAAAATTTCAGTATTCGGTACCAATACCAGTGAAAATCCACGGTTCTCGGTACAAATTTTGGCACCAAAGCAAAACACAAAAACATGCTAATTAAAAATTTTGACTACTTTCATTTAATCCGAAATGTGTACATATTTAATTTTAAAGGGCTTTTAAAACCTTCTAGAGTTATTCAGCCAAGAATAACAACTAAGTTAACTAAAAAAAAAAAAAGCCCAGAACTGCTTTTCTGACTGATATGACACAAATGTCACATGACCTCACACACACGCATGTCACATGACCTCACACACACACACGTCACATGACCTCACACACACACAGACATGCATGTCACATGACCTCACACACACACACACACACGCATGTCACATGACCTCACACACACACACACACACGTCACATGACCTCACAAACACACACCTCACATGACCTCACAAACACACGTCATGACCTCAGACGCATGTCACATGACCTCAGACACACACACGTCACCATGTCACATGACCTCACACACACACACGCATGTCACATGACCTCACACACACACACGCATGTCACATGACCTCACACACACACACGCATGTCACATGACCTCACACACACACACGCATGTCACATGACCTCACACACACACACGCATGTCACATGACCTCACACACACACACGCATGTCACATGACCTCACACACACACACGCATGTCACATGACCTCACACACACACACGCATGTCACATGACCTCACACACACACACGCATGTCACATGACCTCACACACACACACGCATGTCACATGACCTCACACACACACACACACACGTCACATGACCTCACAAACACACACCTCACATGACCTCACAGACGCACGTCACATGACCTCACAAACACACACGTCATGACCTCACAGACGCATGTCACATG